AGAAGCGGAACTCTACCAAAGAAAAGAAAACCTGAGTAGTCTAGGATGCGGAGCAAGCTCCATGCTGAGTCCATGCGATGCAACCTAGGATATAAAATGGCACAAAACAGCAATGTCACAACTAACAACCTAAGTGAAAGCAGAAGCAACTAACTAACATACATGTCCTAGGAAAGCAAAAGCAACTAACTAGCATACATGTCCTAGGAAAGCAGAAGTAGTGACAACTAGATCCTAGAATGTTGGAGGCACTAGCCTCAGTCTGGTAACAACTCACTAGTGTATAAGTCCTAAGAACAGCAAAAGCAGAACAGCTAAATCCTAGAAATGTCGGAGGCAGTAGCCTCAGTCTGAGAGCAACAAAGCAATCAACAAGACAACCATATGTCACATGAGAAGTGTGTCGCACACCAAAGGGTGGGATGGTCTCTGAGGGTGGCGAATGCAGCCTAGGGGTCGAAAACTCCTAAGGGCATCCACACATAGTGACAGGGGAAAACACATTTCATCAAGCTCAATGAGGGTAGGGAACTGGGAACGAACAAAACCAATGACCCTAACAGATAGACCATCAGGGCGAGTAATGCTCGACTAAGGGGTGACCGCTATGGAAGGTCGACCATGCAAGGGAACAAGGGAGCCTGGTATACTGGGCGCACCTAGATGAAGCATGCGGGGCTGCCTAACTAGGGCGTGAGGGCCGGCGAAGGGTAGAAAGATGATGGGTAAGGGAATCATGCAAATGACTCCTAAAGTGAGGGAGGTCGGAGCTAGATCCGTAAGATGGGAAGCCAGGGTAACGCTACGGTCCCGATGCCTATGCGTATACCAAGGGAGAGCCCAACTCAGAGGAACCCGGCTAAAGGGAGACCATCATGCGACACAAGCAGGGTACTGTACAAGGTAGAGTGGTAAGAGAGTGACGACGTCTGAAGTAGGCAGAGCTGATCGTGATGAAGTCCATGAAGCTGCCAATGACGTCCACGAGGAGAAGTCCGGAATGACGTCGAGGAAAAGCCGCAGCGTCGATGAGCTGAAGTAGCAAAACTGATGTGGATGGAGTACTCAGAAGTCAAAGTCGTGGGAAGGTAAGTCAGAGTCAATCGTCGTATCGAGTAGGACGACGACGAGTGCGCTGTTGACGCTCAGAAGCATCCGGCTGCTGCTGAAGGTCTGCCTCAGATGGAGCAGGCTCGACTTCAGCGGTCTCCTCAGCCGGAGGAGAAGGAGGAGGGTCATTGGGTTGAGGAGGAGCAGTGAACCCAGCACGACGAGCACGGTCATAGGCACGCACCAACATGCGAGCGTGCTGCAAGTGCTCGAGGGGCTCCCAGGTAGCCTCCTCATCTGTTCCAACGTACGAGATACTTGACGTGGGGAGGGTTGTCGTCGGTGACTCGGCGACCAATGATGTCTGAAACGAGGAACTCCTCGTGACCGTCCACCATGATGGGTGGAGGGCGCTCATATGGTCTTGCAGCGAAACGCTCAGACGGTCTGCGGTAAGAACGCAGTAACGAGACGTGGTAGACATCATGCACACGAGCCTGGCGTAGGTAGYCGGRCAGCTTCACACGAAAGYTGACCGGGCTAGATGCCGTATCAGAACTGACGGCCTGGAGGATGCGGCATGGGCCAAAGAAGCGACGCCGAAACTTGCGAAGCGTGTCCGCTTCGAGCTGTAAGTGGCGGGC